AGACGCCCAGGCCCAGCTGTTCCCGCCCTTTCCCGGGCATCTGCCCCCAGCTCTCCCATGACACCGGCTCCCCGCTCCAGGCAGGCGGGGTGGGGGGCACCTGCACCTGCTGAGCACGCAGAGCCGCCCCCCCTCCCGTGCAGCCATGGGGGACCGAGCCCCACCAGCCACTGCGGGACCGGGGAGCGAGCCCCAGGAGCGTGGGTCCCAGAGCCCTGGGCACGATGGCTCAGCACCCTCTGGAGGAAGTGGCTTTAAGGGGGAGCTGGAGCCCCAGCGTGATGGCGGGGGCTCCTGAGAGACTGGGGAGGGGCCACCCGCAGGACGTCCTCCCTGAGGAGGACAGCAGGCCCCTGTCCCGCATCCCAGCACTGACCGCTGGGCCTGGCACACAGAGAGGCCTCAAAGTCAAGGCCCAGCAGGGGCGGACAGAGAACCCACCTAGAGGGTGTGCACAGTGGGCACAGACGCAAGCAGGTGCCCAGCAAATCAGCAGCTGAAATAGGAGGGAACCCCCACCAGGGCGGCCCACCCCCCGCCCGCCCCAAGCTTCACCTGTGGCCTCAAAGCCGCGGGGGCCCATAACCCCGCACTCTCCCTGAGCGCCCAGGGGCCCGCCGGCCATCGGCTGCTTCAGGCCGTGTGGCCACCGCACAGGGGCGGGCAGGCGGCGGGGCGGGCTTGTCGGGCCGGGGCCCCTGGAGGAAGAGCTGCTGGCGAGGCGGGAGGCGGGGGCGGCCCCTTCCTGGCGGAGTCCCCCGTCCTGTCCTGCCAGGGTCGCTGTGCCAGAAGCGACGTCTCCGCCTGCCTCGGGACCCTGCTCCAGTAAATGAGGGCGGCGCCCCCCCGGAGCCCCCACCACCAGCCAGAGGCACCCCCCTGCCTGGAGAGCACCAGGAGGCCGCTCCCCGCTGGCCAGCGCCCGGGGCCGGGCAGGTGAGGGCCTCAGTCCGGGGTCCGGGGCACCCTGGGGGTGGGGGGCCCAGAGGGAGCAAGTCCTGCCCCAGCTGCCCCCTCCCTGGGCAGGGCGGTCACCGGTGGGGCGGCCGAGGTCTGGCCGAGAGCCCGGGAGGCTGCGGGGCCGCAGGAGCCGGAGCTGAGGGTGGGACGGAGAGAGGTGGGGAGAAGTGGCAGCCCCACAGGGCTCCGAGCAAGTTGGGTGCCGGGTCGCGCTGGGGGTGCTGAGCAGGAGGGGAAGCAGAGTGGGGCTCAGTGAGGCTGTGGGGCGCGGTGGGCCAAGCCAGGGCCGGGAGGAGGGGCGCAGGGAAGGGACCAGTTCAGCAAGGGGCGGGTGGCCTGACCTCAGCCCGTAGTCACCAGGCGGGGGGCAGGCCCCTGGGGCATCCCCGCAGGGGGCGGGCCATGAGGGGGGCCCAGCCTGGCACCGGCAGCTCCCGTGGCGGGCTCTGCGCCAGGCTCTGTGCCAGACCCCCAGAGCCTCAGCGCTGGCGCGGCTCCTGGCAGGTGCCCCTGGGCCCACACAGCGAGGCCCGAGGCTCTGGGTCGCCCCAAGCTTCCCCACCGCGGCTCTGGCTTGGCCCTGCTGGGCCCCTGCACCCTCCCTGGTCGTCCCGGCCCAGGCCCCAGGCGGTCCCCTCTAGCACCGGAGCGGGGCTCAGTGAGGCCACGGGCCTGGGCAGACGACAGGCTGAGACCCAAGCTCAGCTGGCGGGTGCAGAGGCCACACGGGACGTGGCCAGGCCGGGCACAGGGTCCTGCTGGGGCGCGAGGCAGCCCCGGGGGTGTGTGACAACAATCGCAACCCCATGGGGGGCCGGCGGAGGCAGGCTGACCCTGTGTGGAGCAGCCGGTGGCCCCCAGGCTGGGGCTGGGCTGGGCTGGGGCCGAGGGCAGGCCGGCAGGGGTCCCACGTCCACCTTCTTCCCTCAGCGGGCCCCACGGCCGGACCCCCAAGGCCGCAGCCGGGCTCCAGGCTCCCGCCCACTGGGCTCACCGCCTCCTGCTTCCAGCTGCTCCCCGCCCCTGGAGGGCCCCCCCCGGAGGAGCCACCCCTCCATCCTGAGACGGAGCCCCTCGGTGTGCCCCGACAGCGGACCTGCACCCCAGAGGCCCTCGAGGCACGTGCGGTTCCGGGAGCCCCTGGAGGTGGCCGTCCACTGTAAGAGGCTCGGCGGGCCAGCCAGGGCCAGAGGCAGGGCAGTGACCTTGTGGAGCGGGGACACAGGTGTGGCCTCGGGGCTCCCAGGGGACCCCCCACCACCCATCCTCAGGGCCCAGCCCGGCAAGTCCAGGCTGCCCCTCGAGGAGGGAGCCTCTGCCGCCCAGGGCTCCGGGGCCACCCCCTCCCCACCCACATGAGCGCCCCACCAGGCTGGCCTCACCCCACGAGGGAGCTGGGGGGCCGGCCCGGCAGCAGAGACTGCGGACAGGGCCCGAGCCCTGGGCCCTGTGAGCTCGCGCGGGCAGGACCGCCCCAGGGAAAGAAGGGCCAGGGCACCGAGGGCAGCCGCAGGGGCCGGGCGGGGGTTGGGGGGCTCAGAGCCCTGACTGCCCCCCGCCTCCTCCCCAGACATCGTGGGCAGAGAGCCCAGGGCCTCTACCGGCCCCAGGGCCAAGGGTGAGTTGGGGCCGTGCCTGGTTCTGCCCCGGGTGGGCTCTCGCTGGGAGGCCCGGGCGGGGGCGGGGCTCCTGTCCCGCAGGGCTAGGGCATCACCCCAGGGGTCCCATCGAGGGGCCAGTGGTGCCAGCCACCAGGGGCAGCACCAGGCCACCCCACTGGAGGAGGGGGCCCAGGGGTCCTCGCTGGGCAGCCAGCTGACGGGCCTCTCACCCCAGAGCCCGGCCAGCGGTGTCCTGGGGGCGGCTCCCCGCGCCTGCGGCTGCTGTTAGGGCTGTTGGGGCTGGGGCTGCTGGGGCTGGGGCTGCTCTGGGGCCACACCCAGCCCCTCGCCCCGGCCCTGGACGCCCTGCGGGCCCGGCTGCTCAGCCTCGTCCTGCGCCTCCGGCTGGCGCCCTGACCTGCTGGCGCTGCCTCCTGCGGCTGTGACGGGCACCCCAGCGGGGGGCCTGCACAGACCCTGGCAGGTCTGGGGGGCCCCAGCTGCCTGTCTGGAGAAGTGCACGGTAAGCCCAGAGATGGGCGGGGCAGCTGGGGCCCCACTCCCATCAGCACGGTCCCTCCTGGCACACATGCCAGGGTCCACCGTGGGGCCCGTTGGCAAAAGGCCCCCACAGGCCCCAGCCCCCCACCCTTTAGACCCTCCCTTGTCCCAGAGGGACCCCACACCCAGGCCAGGCCCCGGCCCTGAGCTGTGGGACGCCTGGGGCTGGGGAGGTGCCACCCCACGGGCCCCGCGCACAGCCTCTGAGCCCGAGCCCCTGGGGATCCTCCCCACCCTGGGAAGATGCATCCCCCAAAAAACTCCCAGGAAGGCGCTCTTGGGGGTCGGTCGGGTGTGGGGCAGGGAGGGTCAGGAAGGGCCTGAGCGCAGCCTCCCCGGGACCCCTGCCCGCACCCACCGGCCGCAGCCGCCGGGATGGCTGCGGCCCCGCAGGGAGCAGCCTGGGGGGGTTGGCCCCCCGCGGTCAGGCGCTGGGAGGAACAGCGGGAGTCCTCGCTCGCCTGGACCAGCTCAGACAGCGTCCACGGTGGCCTGGGCCGGGGTGCCCTCTCGAGGGTCATTCTGTCCCCGTTACTGAGCTGGGGGACTCAGACTTCCTAGCAAACACCAGCGGCCGCAGTGGGGCAATGGCCGTGGGGTTCACTCTGGGCTGAGGCTGGTACCCCCCGACCTGCCCCAGCCTCAGAGCAGCTCTCTGGGGCCTCCTCGGCTTCAGGACCCCGGGCGCCAGGAGGGGCGTCCAGCAGCGAGGGCCGGTTCCCAGGCGCAGCGGCCCGTCTGGATGTGGCAAGGCGGGGCCCTGAGGGGCGGGGGGCGCAGCCCGGCCCCGATGCTGAAGCCGCAGACACACCTGGCTGGAGCGCGGCCAGGCGGGGAGAAGCACAAGCGCCCCCCGAGACGGAGACGCTTTATTTCCACTTGGAGGAACAGACACACTGGCGGAGGCTGCCTCGCGGCGGGACAATCACAGGCGTGTCCACAGCCAAGTGCCGGGAGGAGCAGAGCCGCGGGGCCCAGCCCACCGTCCTCGTGCCCCTTCCTGGGGGCTGGGGGGCTGGGGGGCCTGGCGCCAGCGACGGCCCCTGCAGGGGACACCCACATGCAGGCCAGGGGCCCCAGGACCCCGACCGGCTCCGAGAGCCGGAAACGTGGCAGCCCGGGGCTCCAGACCCCGCGCCCGAATGGGGGGCCCGCCGAGCTCCCAGGGACCGGGAGGGCCCCTGGTGGACACGCAGAAGCCAGGACCGGGCGAGGCCAGGTGTGCCGCAGGCCTGGGGTGCCCCCTGTCCCCCAGGATGCAGGGCACTGCCGGACGTGGGCCGGGCCCTGGGCAGAGCGGGCTGAGGGACCGGCTCGGCCAAGCAGCGCCCACAGCGCCCGCTCGCGGGGCGGAGGCGGCGGCGGCGAGTGCCCGCCCATCACGGGCAGCTCACACTGCGGGCTCGCACTGCGGGCACACTCGCACACGCTCACACTCATGTGCATGCCCGCACACACCACACCCCCGCACACGCACCCAGTCAGGGCCCCCCCACAGTGCAGGTCTGGGGCTCGGGGGCCGCCGCCGTGCGGGCGCCCGCGGCCTGGGCCTTCCCGTGAGCTCGCCGGCGCCGGCGCTGGCGCAGGAGCAGAGGACGCGGCCTCCAGGGACCTGCTCAGGCCTTCCTGTGTTCTGCCTGCCGCCGCCAGGCCAGCCTCAGGCTGCAGCCGGGAGGCAGTGGCTACCACCCCGGGTGAGCTGACCGCGGGGCCGGGGCTGGTCAGCGGGGCCCAGGGGCTGGCGTGGCCAGGCCCAGCAGCACAGGCGCCCGCAGGGGCCGGGGGCACACACAGAGCTCTGTGCACCCTAGAGGCCGCCCACAGCCCCACACCCGGCGGGAATCGGGGTGCCGGGGCGGGGTCCCCTCTCTGCGCGGGGCTGGGGCGGCCGGGCAGACTGCCCGCCCTAGATGACTGCGCTCTTCTCCTCCTGGAAGGAGGCGCGGGGGCCCGGCCCGGCCAGCAGCAGCTCCTTCTCGTGCAGCAGGCTGTCCAGCAGGTCCTCGCGGCGGTAGCTGTGGCAGACGCGCAGGAAGGCCAGCGCGGTGAGGGCCAGCCAGGCCAGCCATGAGGCCCAGAGGCCGAACTGCAGGAGGGCGAGGCGGGGTCAGGGGCGCGGGACCCAGGCCACCCAGCCGGTCCCGCAGGAAGAGCGGGGTGCGGGGAGGGGGCCGAGAGTGGGGCTCAGCGCCGGGGTGTACCTGCCGGCCCTGGCCCCCACCCCGAGCACCCCGGCTTGGGTCGGGGTCCCTGGAGGAGCAGCCAGATGGCCGTTTGCCCCCAGGCTGGCCTCGGCCCCCACAAACTACCCCGATCTGCTGTTTCCAAACAGCTAGAAGAGAAACAGCCCGAGGGTCCGGCCTGAGTCCCACAGTTCCCGCCCGCCGCCCTCCTCCCGGAACTGGGGCCGGGCCGTGCCTCCCCCAGCCCGCCCAGCGCACCCCCGCCTCCGGTCCCTCGCCGGTCCTTCCACCCTGCCCCCGCCGGGGTCCCGCCACCCACAGCGCTGGCCGCCTGGGGTCCACTTGGGCCTGGGAGGAGGCCCAGGGCCAGTCTGACGGGCAGAGGTGGAAGTGGAGGGGCAGCCCCTCACCCCCGCCAGGTCCCCACCTGCCTGCGCTCCAGGAAGGCACCCCGGAGGGCGGGGTTGCCTCAAACCCTCAGACGCGGCCCGGCCCCCCTGGTCAGGCACTGACAGCGACCCCCCGCACTTGCCCAGGGGACCCGCTCGGCCAGGACCAACGTCCAGCCGCGCCTGCAGCACCGCCTTCTCGCCCTCCACACCCGCCCTCCGGGCACCTCACCCCTCCCACCGCTCCTGCAAACCCCACTGGGTCTCCAAGGTGCAGCTCCTGCCCCTCCTCCAGGCAGCACCCAGCTGCCCGCGCAGCGTCCACTCAGCCTCCCTCGCCTGCGGCACCTCCCTTCGCTGCCAGCCGGTGTCCCTCAGGGGCTGAGCAGCGAGCGGCCCTGCCCCACAGTGCCGCCTCCCTTCCCACCTGGGACCTGCCTAGCTGGCAACCCTGCGTACCCAGGTAGCCCCCCACCTGGGCAGCCCCCCCACTTGGGCAGCCCCCCACCTGGGCAGCACCCACCTGGGCAATGGCAAACTGGTCGTAGAAGGCAGAGTTGTCCACGTTCAGCTCCAAGTCGACACCCTGGAGCTCTTTGCAGCTGCAACAAGAGGGGCGGATGCAGCGGCCGTGTCACCAGGCCCAGGGTCGGGGCATCACCCAATGGCACAGGCGCTGCCCACAGTGAGAGGTGGGGCGCTCCACACCTCAGCTGGGCGTGGGAGCCTGGCCCCTGCCCTCCTGGACACCCTGGCCCAGCCACCGCGGACGGACCTGCAGGCCGCGCCTGGCACACCTGACCCCACCCACACCCGCGCTCCACAGCTCCTCTGCCCGCCCCCCAGGCCCCCGGGGCCACATCCGCCCGCCACCCCGCGCCCCGGCCAAGCCCCGGGTGCCACTGCGCTGCGAGGCCCACCTGTGGGGCACCGAGCCCTTCTCCGTGACGGCGTCACACCACATGGCGAAGCCCACGCTCACGAGGGTGCTGGCGATGAAGACCAGGAAGAGCACGCAGGCGCTGGCCAGGAGGCTCAGGAAGGCGTAGAGGAAGGAGCTGCGGGGCGGGCGAGGGCCGCTGAGGCCATGGGACCCAGCATGGCCCTGGGCTGGACAGCAGGGGCCGCTCCCTGCCCGCAGTGGCCTCAGCCCCCTCCAGGCGCAGGCTGCCCCTCCCCCCGCCCCCAGCCCAGCACAGGGACCTGTCGCCCCAGCTCAGGGGCCGTGGCGATGCTGGAGCCCAAGGTTGCTTGGTCCGGGCAGGTCCCCCTTCCCGGTCACCACCAAGGCCCTTCCCCCACAGGGTCCCCAGCACAGCCGGCCAGACCTCTCGGGCCTGGGACGACCCTGCTGGGCCATCCCCATGGCGACCACGAGGCTGTGTGAGCGCGTGGGGCCAGGGATTGGCTCCCCAGACGGCTGGTCCTTGCTGGGCCTCGGGTGGCCACCCTGGGGTGCGCCTGAGGCCGCAGGTGGAGCCAGAGCTGGGAGGGCCAGACCCAGGGGTGCTCCGCCAGGTGGAGGCAGCGCTGACACAGGACTCGGCGCGGCGGCACCAGAGCCCCGGGCCACACTGGCTGGGTGGGGCTGCGAGGACACCCACGCAGGACCACCCTGGCACCTGCCCGCGCCCCCCCCAAGCTCCCACTGGACTCTCTGAGGCCCGGCCCCTCCCGCCACGGTGCCCTGGCTGACCTCCCACCTCCTGACAGCCGTGGGGAGACTGGGGCTGCTGAGCAATGATGCCGGGGCGGGGGCAGGCAGGGGCAGGCCCAGGGAGAGGGCCTGGACCCGGGGTGGATGTGGGCTGTGCGGACCTGGGCAAAGGCTGCTGTGGCCCACACAGGGTGTGGACAGGGCCCGCGAGGGAGCCAAGGGCTGGAGTGGCCCCAGGGGCTGCCCTCAGCCTCTGCATAGCATCACCCTCCTTGGATGGGGAGGGCCCCCAGTGCGCTCACGGGTGCCAGCTGTGCCCTGGCGTGGAGCGGGTGCTGCCTGCAGGAGGGAGGGCTGCGGGTGGCGGGAGATGACAGGGCACATTTGCAGGCCGGCGGAGGGGGTGGGGCCGCCGGCTCGGGAGGCAGGGCCGAGGGCACGGTGCCTGGAGGGGGTGCGCGCGGGCTGGAGTTGCAGGGCCGAGCCCGGGAGGGCCTCGCACGGCCGGCTTGCGGGTGGGCACGACCCGAGGGCCCACTTACCCCTCGTGGCCCCTGCAGAGGAGGAAGAGCGAGCGCCAGGCGTGCGCGGCGGCCAGCAGCAGCGAGAGGAGGCTGGCGAGCAGGCCGAAGCGGCAGGCGGCCGGCGGGCCCCACTCCTGCACCGTGAAGCGCTCGCGCGCCTGCACCGAGAGGTTGGCGCTCAGCCACATGCCCTCGGTGAAGAGCAGGCAGCGGCCGCGGAAGTCGTGGCCGTTCTCGGACAGCGGCACGAGCGCCACGAAGCTGAAGAGGAAGGCCAGGAGGTGGCCGGCGCACTGCGCCAGCAGGAGATTGTGGGGCGCCATGGCCGGCGGGCGCGGGCCGGGCGCGGGGCCGGCGGGCGGCCCGGCCGGGGCGCGGGGAGGCCGCGGGCAGCAGCCGGCGCGGGGAGGCCGCGCGCGCAGGCCGGGCCGGGGCGCGCGGGAGGCTGCGCAGTGGCGGCGCCGGCGGGTCCTGCGCGCCCCGCCCGGGACGCGCGCGCCGCGGCCGAGCGCGCAGCACGGCGGGCAGCACCGCGGCCAGCTCCGGCCAGCGGGGCGGGCGCCGAGGCCCACCCAGGGGCGCGGGGGCGCGGGCCGCGGGGCGGACACCCGGCATGGAAGCCGGGCGGGAGGCGAACTACCGCTCCGTGCCGGCCCGGCCGGCCCGCGCGCCTGCCCCAGCCCTGGCGGAGGTCAGGAGGCTGATGTGAGGTGCGCGGGGCCCGGCCGGGCGGGGCGGGGCGGGGAGGGGCCGGGCCCGCGGGGCGGGGTCGTGAGCGCGGCCTCGGCGGCGCCTGGGAAGCTGCGGCACAAAGAGGCCCGGCTGATGTTTCCCAGCCCAGCAAGGGCTGCCCCAGGCCCTCGTTACCCCAGCCTGGCTGGGCCGGAGGCTGCTGACGCATCAATTAATAGAATTAATGCCTTTCCCAGGTCCCTGTAGGACTCGGCCACGTTTGTCCAATTCCCAGAGCCGGCCCGGGGCTGCTCTTCCATAAGCAACGCCAACGAGGGGCTTACAGCTGCATCAGCCCTTTTGTCACAAGCATAAAAAATCTCATTTCATTGCAAAGCAACAGACGCTCACTTTTAAGCCAAGCACTTCAGCACGTGTGAATGGAGAGCCTCCCCCACAGCCCCCCGGGGTGGCCACTCAAGACAACCCAGCGCCTGCTTTCCTAGACATGGCGCCCGCGGCCGCACCGGGTCTGGGGCTGAGCTCGCACCCGGCTGTGGGCTCCGCAGCTCACGGCAGCGATGGCTCCTCTCCGGCCAGGCTGCTGGCCTGAGAGCCGAGGGCCCACGGCACGTCCGTGGGCAGCTGGTGGCCTTTGCCATCCCGAGCGCATTGGGCGCCCCGCACACGGGCAGGCGGGCGCAGCCGTTCCCTGCAAGAGCGGTTCTCGCGGATGGACAGCTGGGCCCTGGGGCAAGCATTGCCAGAAGTCGCCAAACTGGGCCTGACGACAGCCGAGCCGCAGCCCCTTCTCCAAAGCCCAGAAACACACCTGCTCTCCATGGAAACACAGCCCGGGCACCGCCACCTCGAAGGCCCGTCACCAAGGTCTGTGCGCTTCACAGCCATGGCCTCGGCTTCCGTGAGGGCACTTTACCGCGGTCTCTGCCGGCAGACACGGAGCCTGGCCTCGTCACCCCCCACCCCGCAGAGGCCACTCAGGCCCCGTGACCCCCGAGCACCCAACTCCTCCGAGGGGTCACGGGCGGGGAGCCCACCTCCAGCTCCCCGGCAGCGGCTGCCCAGCTCACCCGCGGGCGCCGCCATGGGGGCTCAGCCAGGACGAAGGAGGCCACGACAGCCGAGGGGCGGGCTGCGAGGTGGCCAGATGCCCGCCGTGTAAGAGCTCAAGACTGGGGGGTTCCTGAGGATGAGTTCTGTTTAGCCTTCGCCGGGCAGGTATTCCCACGATTGAAATAGCTCCAACCGGGCCTCCCCGGTGGCTCAAGGGGTTGAGTACAGCGCTGTGAAGCTGCCCGCAGCCTCTGCAGCAGGAGTTCGATCCCCGGCCGGCCAGAGAGCTATCCACAGGGCACAGCAGACCTCTCCTGTCTCCCCGCTGCTCCCCTCAGCAGTTATTTCAGGGGATCCACCTGTTCTGCTCCCCGCTCTGTCTCTGGGGGTCCTCTTACCTCCGCTCCTCTGGTCTGCACCCCAGCTCTTGTCTGCATAAATAAATGAATCTTAAAAAAAAACTCCAACCTACAAGAAAGTGGAAAACCCCCAAATTCATGTTCGAACGTCAGCACCGTACGAGAATGACGCACAGAGAAAGAAGAGATTTCATTTTAAAATGTGGATGGAAAAGTCAAAGAAAATACGGCGTGTCGAGGGCGGCCCGATGTCCCAAGGAACAAGAAAACGTGGACACGCGGGGCCGGCCTCGAGCACGAGAACGTCCGAGCTCAGGCCCGGCGGCAGCGCCGCGAGCAGCAGTCAGGGGAGAAAACTCATTTTTTTGCCCTTTGCAGCTCCAGCCGCGACTTCCCATTGTCTGTTTTTCGATCTGTGAAGAACAAGAAGAAAATGTGCGATGAGACGACGCCGGCCGGATCCCGAGCCCGGGCCTGAGCCCGGGCGGCGCTCCCGGGGCGGGCGGCTGCTTCTCCGCGCTCCCCCCGATGAAGCCCCGCGTCCCAGGACACGGGCTGCCGCGTCCGCATGTGCATGTCGGGGGCGTGAGAGGACGCGGCGGGGACGGGGGCGGGACACACGCCGGAGTCCGCGCTTGGCCCCACACGCCAGTGCCGGGTCAGGGCTCCGGGGGCAGCGGAGGGGCGGCTGAACGGACACAGCTGCAGCCGAGGCGCCAGCCGATCGGATCCCGGGGCCGGGAGCAGGGAGGTCCCTGCGGGGGGCCGGGCCCGGGAGCCCAGGCCGCCCCCAGCACGTGGGCCCCGCAGCTGCGCTGGGCCCTGGGGAGACGCAGGGCCGCGGGGGTCCAGCGCTCAGCTCGTCCTGGCCCCGGGCCGGCGGGCGCCTGGAGCAGGCGCGGTGCCCTGATGCACGCGTGGACTCCGCACACCCGGCTCCGAGGCGACAGGTGGCCGCGGCTGGGCAAGCGGGAGGCGCTCGGCTCGCCCCTGCAATCAGGGATAAGACGGCCGGACAGCTCCGCCGCGGCCAGGCCGGAGGGGCCAGAGCTGCCTTGCGGGGAGGGGAGCCGGAGGCCGGCCGGGGAGGGGCGGGGGCGGGAGCGCAAGGGCCAGAGAGGGCGCAGCAGGATTCAGGACACCCGCAGGCCGAGCCTCTCTGGGTCTCAGGAGGACAAGGGAGACGCGGGAGCGTGGACAGAGCAGGTGGCCGCAGGCGCCGGCCACTGGGACAGACGCGCCGGGCACCGAGCTCGCGGGCGAGTCCTCCCAGACGGGCTGATGCCCAGGCGGCCGCGGGGTGGGGTAGACGCGGGGGCCGTGGGCAGTGCTGGGCCCTGCTGTCCAGCCGCTCGCTCACGGCCTCTCCAGGGCGACGCCCTGTCCCGCGTCTCTTCGCGGCGAGTCCTCGGGCTCCTGCTTTCTAAGGCGACTACGGTTGAGCAGAGGAGGCGGCCGCAGGGCCCACTGTGGCCTGTGCCCACGCCCACCCGGGGTCTGCTGCCTGGCCCACCATCCACCGCCTGAGTGCCCGTCACCCCAGGTGAGCGCACGGCCCAGCGGGCAGGGAGAGGGTCTTCGGTGTCTCCAGGGTGAGCTGCGGGCCGGAGGACGGCGGGGCCCGGCTCTCCACACGGGAGGGGCTCCCCCGCCAAGGACGGTCTTCGTAAGCCCTGGTGGTTCCAAGACCGCTGAAGCGGGAAACGCGAAACCACGGGGATGGCGGGAGGGCCAGGAGGGCAGGTGCGGCGAAGGCGCAGGACGCAGGCCCCCCTCTGGCGCCCCACAGGCCAGGGAACCACTCATGCCGCGGGGCTGGGTCCAGCGCCCAGGCCAGCGGGGGGACCCAGCACACAGCCCCTCGGCCGACGGACCTTAGCCCCGGCTGAGCTCCGGATCCCGTGATCCCCAGCGCCCCCCAGGCCCAGCACTGGCCTCCCCGGGGAGCACCCCCACCCCTCAGCGGCCGGGCCTGGGAGGTTCTGGATGGTGTCACACTAATGAGAAAATATATATATTTTTAAAGATGTATTTATTTATGCATACAAGAGCTGGGTACAGGCCAGAGGTGCGGGGGCGGGGGGCGGGGGGTGAGAGGATTCACCAAAGACAGAGTGGGGAGCAGAACAGGCAGATCCACTGAAAACACTGCTGAGGGGAGCAGCGGGTGGCAGGAGAGGTCTGCGGCGCCATGTGGGTAGCTCCCTGGCCGGCCGGTATCTTGTGCTGCAGAGGCTGCGGACAGCGTCATAGGTTGTGTCTTAACCCCTTGCGCCCCCAGGGAGGCCCTGATGAGAAAATATATTATTGAGCAAATGAATACAATAAAGACTCCAGCAGGACTTCCAGCCCAGGTGCAAGGAACCCGCCAACGCAGGCGCCCGGCAAGTGCGCTTCCTTACAGCTCCTCCCTCTCAGGACCCATGGCCGCGGCCTCAGCACCCTTATCCACAAGGCCGGGCAGCCGGCCAAGCTGGTCCCTCTCTCCAAGGCCATCCCCAAGGCCTGCGTCTTCCCGCCTTGCCTGGCCCCCTTGTCTGGGGACTGTGCCGCAGATGCTGGTGCCTGCTGGAAAGCGATGCTGTCCCTGCAGCAGATCTGGGCCCAGTGGTGCATGAAAGGACCCCTTGGGCTTTACCGGCGCTCAGACCTCACGGGGCTCCCCAGGTCTGGGACCTCGTGCCTGAGTCATACAGCTTCCCCGGACCTCACCGTTCCTGAAGCACCGCTTCCTCTTCCCCGGCCTGGGGACAAGGCTAGAATTTATTTCCACGACACCAGTCACCACGGGCCGCGGCTTCACGACCCGCACACGGGCACGTCCCGCCCCCAGAAGGCAGGCTGGGGCTGTCGGCAGCACCCCACCCACCCCCCACCCCACCCCCACCCACCACCCCCCCCCCCCCCCCGCCCCGCCCCGCCCCTGGGCCTGCCAGTCTCCAGCCCCCACCGGGCCTCCCTGCTCCAGACTCACCCTGCGGGGCTTTTTATATGCAAATTAATAAGAAGCGCCTTCCTTTGAATCCCTGAATAATTGAACAGTCTCCCTCCCGCCCCTGTCCGCCCCCCTGCCAATCCTGGAAGGGGGCACAGGTCAGCTGCCACCTGGAGAGCAGGGGTGGTGGGTCACAAGCCACGGGGTGGGGGGAGGGCCGCGAAATGCTGCCAGCCCTGGGGTGCCCCTGCCTGCAGCTGCCACATGGACCACCCGCCGGGAA